GAGGCCCTTTTTACTGGAAATGAGGCATTCCATCTTAGTCCTCACGGGTGGCAACGCATCTGCATTTTGATTTGCAAAGGAGGATAGATGTAGATGTCTATGGGCCGCAGCAACCACTTACCATCAGGTGGACTGTGTGCTCGTTTGTCACCCTTATCCTATAAAAAAAAAAAAAAAAAATGTAAAAATGTACACGTTAAAAAAAGGTTGTCAACCCCTAAAAATTTCAAAATTTCAAAATATCCAGAAACGACGCTGCATGCATGAACTACTCGCAAAATAATGAATATTTTGTTCTGGATAAATTTTCCAAAAAAGCAATTTGAGTGAGTTATAACGATTTTTAAAAAGACACGAGTCGCGTGTCATACGCCACACACAAAAGTAATCGATGGCACGCCTGGCGTGTCACCCGCACTGAACCGGTTAAAGTCCCCCAGAAAAACCAACTGTGCATTAGGGTACCGATTTAGAGCCACATCAGAGGCTTCATTGAGATGTTCAAATAGCCTAGTTGTCTCCTGGTCACCGCTGTGCGATCGGTAGACAAAAAAATAAATGAATTTATCCATTCCTGTGTCTATCAATACCTAGATTTTAGAGAAAGTGGGGTCTTCAAGGTGAAGGAGACGCTTACAGCAGATGTCGTTGCGGACGTAAACACAGACTCCGGCGCGCTGATGGAAATTATGCTCAAATGTGTAACAGAAACAGAAACAGAAACTTTTTTATTCAATATAGATTATAAATAATACTTATTGAAAGTCACTCTTTTGTTTGATTACCACTGGTTCGGAAAAAACCTCTGTCCTGAGAAGAACCAGCAAGAAACCCAGCGGGACTTTTTTTTTTAAATAACAGCTTACAATCATGATGTTACACAAATTAACAACACAACAAATTAGAAATAGCTTGGTAGCGATCACCTCATTTCCAGGGGTTATTATCATCCATAAATTCCTTAATATTATAATAACCCTTTTTATACAAACTTAGTTTAATAAAGTTTTTGAACTTTGAACAGGTTAAACTTTGTATATTTTCTGGAATTTTGTTGTAAAAGCGTATACATCGCCCCAAGAATGAATTACTGACTCGATGGAGTCGAGTAACTGGTACTACTAGCTTGTGTCTGTTCCTAGTATTTACAGAATGAATATCACTTATTTTTGTAAAACTACTTTTATTTTTGTGTACGTACATTACATTTTCATAAATGTATTGAGAGGCCAAAGTTAATATACTAATTTCCTTAAATTTTTGTCGCAGCGACTCTTTAGGCTTTAAATCATAAATTGCTCTTATGGCCCTCTTCTGCAAAACAAATATAATTTCAGTGTCAGCTGCGTGTCCCCATAGCAAAATACCATACGACATTATGCTATAGAAGTAGCTGAAGTAAACTAGTCTAGCTGTTTCAACACTGGTTAAACTTCTAATCTTTTTTACAGCATATGCTGCAGAACTAAGTCTGCTTGCTAGTTTTGATATATGGGGGCTCCATTGAAGCTTCGCGTCTAGTGTGATTCCAAGAAAATTGGTAGTATCTACAAGACTCAGTTTCTCCCCATTTAAAATTACATTAGTATTTAATTGTTTGACATTTGGAGTCACGAATTTCATACATTTTGTTTTAGTGCCATTTAAATGCAAATTATTAACATCGAACCAATTTACTAATTTAGAGATGGCATTATTTACTTCGTCATATTTTAGTAACTGTCGACTTAATTTGAAAATTAAAGAAGTGTCATCTGCAAATAATACTATATCATGGTTATCCCCTACTATGTAAGGTAAGTCATTAATGTATACAAGAAACAGAAAGGGGCCGAGAATTGAGCCTTGAGGCACGCCCATTTGTACCATCGATCCGGAAGAGCTCATATTGTTAATGACAACTTTGTACGCAGGATAGTCAAGGTACGCCGCATCTAGAGGAAATCTGATCTGCGTCTCAGTCAAGAAGAGTAAGTGAGGCTTGTCAGTCTCAAGGTGGTAATGGACTGCATTGAGATTACAGTGCAGGCCTCGGATGATTGTGAGGTGCACTTTGATGGAGAGGGAGTGCAAACGCTGTACAAATTTACTCTTCTTTTTCATTAATGGTGGGAGTGAATAGGTTGAGAGAATGGCAATTGGACGAGGCGTCACACATATTTTATTTTTCTTTTCTTTTTTTTAAAAAACTTTACACACACACTAGGATTTTCTCCTAGTGTGTGTCGTGGAGGCAGTTTACAAACATAAATTGCACAAGGACAAACATTCAGTCCCGGAACAATTATTTGTAGGCGATACAAATACTTGTTCCGTGCGGGATTCGAACCCGCGGCCCCCAGCGCTACAACTGATTGCTAAGCCACTGCGCCACGGAGCCGTCGAAACATATAACCTAGGGACGCAAACAGAGTCACAGCATCGGTGGTACCTAGCATGGAGATCGTGGGGACGCCCTAACCCCCCCCCCCCTGGAAATCGCCACCAGGACCTCTCCTCCGGTTGCCAACCGGCATGGTGGAGCCATCCCCGGATTTTTCGTAAGATGGCCGGGTAGCCTTTCATGAGTGACTGGCTCATTAATTGTATGTACTCCTCCAACTATCTACAGTTGGCCTGCGATGCGACCGTGCTTCGGATTCTGCTTACCTCCATAAGCAGGCACCTGACACTAAGAAACGGCCACGTCGCAACCGGTTCGTATGCGCAACGCAACTGTCCAGACTCACTCTCCTTAAAAAATGGGTTTCACCTAACATCATACCGGTACAGGATTTGCATCATTTGGCGGTATGTCTTTGCCAGGTGGGTGGTAACTAACTCTCGGCCAGACCTCTCACTAGTAGAGGATCAACCTACCACCAGTATGTAGTACTGCTCCTTTAGGACTACTCATGGGATACGCGTATGGAATCAAGATTCAAGTAATTCCTACGAACGCGAGCAGCTTCATCCCCCATAGTTCCCCCAAGTTCAATGTAGTTTCAAGATAAGGCTTATAAGATAAATCTTCATATTTCTAGGTAGTAAATCATAATTCTAGTTTCTCTAAAGATGTATTAGAAAGTAAAGGACAAATTGGCTTTCCTTTAAAATCCAGTACGGTCGTAAAGAAATTTGTAAACATTATGTGCTTTAGATCCTAAATCTTTAAGTATACCCAATTTATACAGCCTAGACGATTAGTCATCATGAATAATTTATGATTTACAGTCATAAATCATATTAAAATTGCACTAAAAGCCCTAAAATATTGGGTACTAAAAACATATTTTCGAGAATTTCGCTACTTTGAGAATGCAGTGAGATAGAAAAACTGATTAAGATGGTGTAAATAATTAATAACATACAACTTATAACATGACCACGTAGCCTAGGTAAGGAATGTAATAAAAAATCCACTACTGAAATCATTGAGTTATATGTAATACGTACTAGAGAAGCCATTCTAAACAAAAATTGTGTCCTACTCTATGTCTTCGCGCATGCGCGGGAGTAGCAGTAGCGCATGCGCGAAGACTTTAATTTGATATAAAATAAGATATTAATATAAAATAAATATAAAAATTTAATATATAATATCTTAATTTACTCTGAACAAACATATTATATTTCTAAGTAAAATGTAAATGTATATTATTTTATGGAATTTACAAATCTTCAATTTACGCAATATTTAGTTTGTACGGATTGCAGTACAGTTCAATTGAACATAGTCAATGTTCGGAATGGCTTCTCTAGTACGTAGTACATATAACTCAATGAGTGAAATAAAACCTAATACTAAATCTAACCCTTTGAACGCCAAGCGCAGCGCATGGGAAGTATGCTCTCTACGCCAAGCCTTTTATTCACTATTAAATACCTACAAAATGCTAGTGATGGATATTAACAGATATCGATAAACCTTTACTACTGCAATAGATATTCCATATATAGGTGTTAAATTTATTAAATAAATGTTATAATAATAGCATTAATTAACCTACATGAATGAAATAAATTAACAAACTAATTTCACAATTAAAACTTCACTAAGACAAGTTTTTATCAAACAAAGCGCATCCGTTAAATGAGATTGACGTCAATACTTGTCGCTTGAAAGCGTCAATGGCGTATGGCTTTAAATAAAATACGGTTACTTCAGGGATGTAATAATAATATATAATATAATAAACACATTTGTAGCAAACTGTTACTTGATGACCATAGATAAATCGATGTTTTAAATGTATGTAGGTTTTAACATTATTAATTTGATTTTTATATTCGTACGATGTATATTAATCGTATTAATAATTAAGTATCACTAATTCCTCAATGGACGCATTTTTTGTAGTTTTAATCAATGTTTTATTTCAATTAGCACAATCTTCTTGTAAATTGTAGAAAGTTAAATTACCCTCATCACTAGTGCCGCTTCAAAGCGACAATGGCGTCAGGTGAACGTATATTTTGAGGTCTTATTTTCGCCTAAAACAAGTTCAAATTTGGAAAGAATACTATCAATATCAAGCTTAAATTTAGTTCAATTTAATTAAGTGACATACGGAGAAGACGACAAAATTAAAAAAATATAGTCTTTTTACCTATTTTCTATAATATCAGATTATAAAGTAGCACATTTTTTGTCGCCTAAACTCAACGTTGGCGTTCTAGCGGCCGATTACGTTTGCCGCTTGTAAGCGTCGTTGGCGTTCAAAGGGTTAAAATGCATTAAAGTTAAGTCGTTCTAAGAATGTTCCAAGCAGTTATCCAACTGTATCAACGTGACAAGCCACGATGATTTTTGGTAACCACAGAACACTATTACTCCTACGGAGAAGAACGCCAACTTCATATAAAATAAAATGGATATACCCACTAGCTCCATCTATAGTCGGCCCACCTGCAATATTTCCGTGGCGGGAAAATTTGAACGTTGCTCTTTTTTTTTTTTGGGGGATTATTTGAGGTATTTTTTTGGGTTACCTATCCCAGCGCTGAATAAAAGAACAATAAATTACAGTTTTCTATTTATTTATTCAAAATACAAATTAAAATTAAAAAATATACATAACTTAAAAAAAGTACTTTACAAAACTGGTGTTTTAGGTATAAATTATAGAAATGACAAGTAATTTCCAACAATATGTTCTACCCACTAATTACCTATAAGAGAAAAAGATATGAAAGCATGTACCACCTTTTCTCATAACTTTTCTTTTTATAAGTCTGGACCCAAAGGGTGTTATCAGGACCATAGTAATAAGCCTACAATGTCTGTCTTGTAGACTTAGTATTATAGTCCTGATGGAATGTGACCACCATACATGCGGCATCACCGACACGACCAGTATTTGTATGCTGGCTACCTAATAGCAGGTGGTTCTAAGGTACAAAAACACATTTCTTGAACATGCATAATACTATAACACAACAGAAGGAAACCAAAATTTCTCCAGCAACTTAGTTCTATCTATAGTCATTACATAAGTTCAAACAAGAAAATAAAATTCAATATTTATCACAATATTTCAATTAACTATGTAAAACAATGATAAAAATAATATTATATATAATTTACAATCATGAATGAATTGATATTATAAATATATTTTTCTCAAGCAACTTAATTAATAAATAAGCTCTTGCATTGCACCCGGCAAAGTGTAAAAACTCATAAATTAATTTTAACAATATTTGGTTGTCTATTTATTACCCTGAATTAACACTTAAAATGTCTCTTTATATAATTTCTTATAATTTATTTTAGTTGATTAATTTAGGTGACTAGACATTTATGTAAAATTCTGCAACAAGCTTTGTCAAATAATTTATATAAAATGCAAAACTACTCTTCAAATTACCTGTTCCAATCTCACTACCAGATGAAATATTTGTTCTGCACTGAATGTCATATTCCATAAATAAATTTCAAAAACGCTTTAACAAATGTGGTTTATCAAAAAGAGTCACTATTTCTTTGTTGTGGAATGTAAAATGGGGTTGTTGCATATTTGCACCCAAAACAGACAGAACTCGCCAATTTACTTCATCCATGTCACAGACTATTGTAGATATATTTATTCCAGCCTGAAAGCACTGATTTAAGACCTGAAATTAAAAATCAAATATAGTTTACTGCTGTTGATATTGTTTAGTCAACATTTTTAGATAATAAAGAAAACAAAACATCATATAAAGTACTATAAACTACCTTTTTCATTAGTACAGCAAGTCTATTTGCAGTTGAAAATGCACGGGAGAAATAGTGGGTACCATGGTACCATGACCTGATACTCTTCAATAAAATCATCTTTTGGGTTGTACATTTCTTGGAAGCATCATTAAAATCACCATCATTAATATGTTTTTCACTCAGCATTCTGTGCTCCTTATGTAGCTTTTCCTGGAAAGCTCTTTGGCAGGAAACAAATATTTCGCCTACAATGTACAGCTGAAACCAAAAAATATTATTATTAAATACGAATAATATCAAAGTAGTTCTAGTGGTTTACTAACCAATATTCTGTTTATAGATGGTTATGAGAAATAACCTTTATAAGTTGGTTAAAGAGTTCTCTTTAAGGTTAGAACTTGAAGGTCTTGAAGTGAATAAATACGTACCCAAAATGTTCTCGCGTAGTGTTACTATATAGTTTGTGAATGTTCTTTACTGCAGACTTCGGGTTTCGGAAAAATAAATAATTTAATGTTGTCTACGGCCCGTGAGCTGCCGCACTTAAAACACTTCCTTCTATTTTCTTTATCCGCCATTCCACAGCACGGTTTTTAGAGTCACTTTCTCGTATTTCACTGCGGATCAATGTCTAATACTTTGCACAACACAAAACGGACGAAATAAATCTTAATTCGACGTCCTAAGCTCGCAAAATCGTAGAAAAGGAGATACAATCCAAACAAAAACTACAATCAACCTTGAACGACAATAATGCAACGGCGCCCTATTTGTTTTTAGTGCTACCAGAAACGAATATAATTTTCTACTCATTAAAAATCAAAACAAAAAAAAGAACATTTTTTTTCCTTTTCTGTGCCGGACGGGCGTAACTCTCCGGAGTAAATGTTGTCGAAGATACTCCGCGAGCCGCTCACGTCCTACACCTATAGGTTCCGGTGGATACTTTCACTACCGCCTTTGTGTATGCTGTTGGAGAACTGTGGACTGAGGTTCAGAATTAAAAATGCACGATTTATAAATTAAAATAGCAAGGGAGTGGCCAGCGGTTCGACTGATTAATTAGTCGCGAAATATTATAACTTATTTATTTATTTAACACTGTTTTTCAACTATGATTGTTCACTATATATTTTAAAACACAGATTTAATTAAACACACAGTAATATTAAAATTTCTATTGGTTTTTTAAAATTTCTATTCGTATTTTCAAAATATCTGTTGGTAATATCAAATTTCTATTGGCAGTAACAAGTTTCTATTGGTATTCTCTACAATTTCTATTGGTAATTTTGAATATCTATTGGGAGTAACAAATTTCTATTGGTAGTATCAAATATTTCTATTGGTAGCAGCTGGTTTTCTAACACTACTGACTAGCAGCTATTAATCAACTAAATTTAGTTGAATTTAAACACTTTTGTAACTGCGAATATCAGTTACCACTTTTTCCGTCTAGCTAACACTTTTCACGATATGTAACGGCGAAATTTCCGTTACCACTTTTTTCAGCTAGCCAACACTTTTTCACTATATGTAACTGCGAATATCAGTTACCACTATTTTTGGCTAGCTGACACTATTTTACTCTATGCAACTGAGAATTTTCAGTTGCCACTTTTTCCGACTATGTGTAACTGCGATTTTTCAGTTACGACCTTTTTCGGCTAGCTAAACTTTTTCTATTTCACTTTAACTTTTCACTGTGTTCTGCTACTAGTCACTTCAGCTACTACCGGATACTACTGCTTGTTACTGGTAGTTCTTCCTACTACAATGTTACTGTGATTTGCCCCCATAAGGTAGACTTCGGCTATACTCTATAGAGAGCCGCTTGCCAATTTCCGGTTTTGCCTTTTTATTATCAAACATTTTCATTACGTAATTTGCACAAATCGCAATTTTTCTATATAATGCTAATTTTTACATTAACACGCTATACACTATAAAAGAGGCATTTTGGTCCTTTATCATTACGTGATAAGGGTTACTTGATATATTTACATTCAAAAAAGTTATTAATCAAAATGTACCTAATTTACATAACAAAAGTGCACATTAAATCTTTAATTTTACTATATTTCTCAAATGCGTTTATTTACACAAATTATCTATTTACTTATTTCAATCTATACACCATATGCTAACTAAATATCATATTTACAATTCTTTCAGAACATAAAATATTCTCATTATTTTCATATAAACTATTGCGCAGTTAATTAACTTCTAGAAATTTCCACGATATGCTGCGCTGTGATTGGTCGAAATTTTATTTAATGTTTAGTCGTTTATATCAACTTATTATTAAAACGATACTTTATACAAATATATTACGAGTTGTAAACATACTGTAAAACTATATTAAAACACAATTTGTTCGATTTTGTCGCTAATTTCACTTTTTAAAACACTTTAATATTCTTTAATCACTTTTTGCTTAAAGTCTTTAAACCGTCGCGAACATTAATATTCTTTAATCACTTTTTGCTTAAAGTCTTTAAAACCGTCGCGAACATCTTCTGTCAATGATATGATAATATAATAACGCAAAAAAATGTGGCAGAGATAGTAATCTTCATAAGAAAAATTTACAATTTGAGAGTTTCTAATTCATCTTTAGCAAAATATTACTAATTGTCACACAGGACATTTATCTGACAAATGGCAATAATGAAATTTAGCCCCCGTAGGCATTCCATTCCGCCCATACAAAGTTGACCGGGCCTGTTGGTAACCGGAACGACGGTCACGGTTATTTAAAAATCACCCCAAGACTTCCGAGACCCACGGGATGGTATGGATATTCATACACCGCCACACCACACACACGATCACGGTAATTGATAACTTCTCTAAACATTTTATTTATAGACAACGTCTTGCAATCGTCGTTTCTCTAGCGCTCACTTGACCTTCATACAAATAATGCGATATCTTGATTGTTGATAATTCTTTTTATTTTTGGAAAAGAACATAGTAATGACTCTATGTTAAAACTTCATTAAAAAAATATTGTCTTTGGCCTGACCTACTATACTCTTTGGCTTAACCATAGGTTTGACTATGTTGGTGGTGGTTAATGTCGCAGTTGGAGTGGTCAATCTAATGCTGGAATTGCCAATCCGTCTAACAACTAACGGGAGAGACCCATATCCGTTCAGTATTGGACTTTTAGAGGCTTGCTAAAGTCGTGGATTTTTTAAGAATATACTTTCACTTTGAGCACTTGCAAGTTTATTAGGACATTAAATAAAAACTCAGGTTAACATTAAAAGTTTATTATTAAAACTCGACATAACTTTTCTATATATAATAATAAAACTTAAGTACTTTATAATTATAATATTATTTCTATGCACAATTTGAAATATCAATACTTTTAAATTATTAAGGTTCATTATAATAAAATCTTGATAGCAACAATGACACATTTTTTTTAAATAATCAAAATACATAATGGATCCAATTTTTTGGTAATTAATACAACACAAATAAGGGTAAAGTACATAATTTCAAAATTATATAGTAAAACATTATAAAAATTTTAAGCAAAATACACATAATTTTTGAGTTTTAAAAATTTTGTAACATTCTGTTTCCAGCTAAAACTTTAATTATACGTAAAATGTAATCAAATATTGGTGACTGTTGCATCTTATATAGGTACGTTATTGTTGGCAGTCCACTCCGGCCCATAGCGTTAATCATTTACGTATATAAATGTGCACGACAGCATCAAAGGCAGCCGTGCCGGCAACATAGCACAAGTAGTGGGGCTCGACCACTTAAGGCTCAGGTTGAGCAAAATCTCGCGCTAGTCGTTATTTGTGCTGTTTTTAGGAGCTATCTACTTTTTATTTAAAAGATATATCAACAAATAAAAAACACATTATATTTCTACATAATCTTGATTTTTTTTAAAGTAATAAATATTAATATAATCTCCTTACAACGAAACCACATAAATGTGAAATTATTATTGACATGCATCTCCTCGTAAAGTAAGTATTATTTTATTTTGCAAATTACACCAATGGATAGACAATTTATTAATGAACATTTGTATAGTAAATTTTTTTTTAAAAGACCAAAATTTGATTTTATTAAGAAATTATTTTAAAATCTGGGCGTATTCACTACTCACGGGCTTGCTGGAGTCAGTGAGCCCTGAGCTCTTACACGTGGAACCCGTGTCGTTAGAGCGTCTGCCAGCGCACACGTTTACGTCATCTTATCAGTCGATAATATTATAATATTATTACTTATTATGTTATTTATAGGTAGTATTATTTGTTTGTTTTGGGCATAATTTTTCGTATTAGTTATACATATATTTCTTATGTTTTTTACTGCGCGATGAAGCTTTTTGCGTGTATTTTCTTTGAAGTAAATGCAAATAAAAAAATTAAACGCCATTAGCATGTAAGGTTCGAATCCATAATTAAAATTTCGACAAATATTATAATTTACACTATAAAAGGCTAATTCAATATTATCACCCAACCACAATATCTTATTAGGTATAGTACCGCCTCGTTGGTCTAGTGGTTGTAGTAGTGCGACTGCTGATCATGAGGTCTCGGGTTCGAATCCCGGGTCTGGCCAAAAAGTCAGTTATGAGTTTTTGCCCCTTTTTTGTTTTTATTTATTGCTTGTTTTTTCTTCTTTTTCAAAAAAATAATTGATTACATAAGGTGCTCTATACGCCGAATGTCAGAGAGAAAAGCTAGTACATCTTTTGCTAAACTTTAAAATCTAAAACCAATTTTAAAACAGACGAATTGATCATAACTCCCTTAGCTATAAAATAAGTTATGATCTAATTAATGGTATTTATTCCAGTTTATGGCAGCCCTGATTTATATTACGTGGCTGAAATTAGTATTTCTTATTAGTTATTAGTACTTCTTATTAGGTACGTCAAACCAAATAACAGCCGGGCGGCTGACATTATGCACTCCATACATTTCTTATATTATCTAATTACAGCCCCATTAATTTCCACTAAAAGAAAATAAATAAGTTGTAAATTCAAACAAAAATAACTGCATTACTACGTCTATAGTCATATTCATACAAATCAAAAAGCCTATATATGAGATAATGTAAAGTAAGCATAATTTTACCGGGATCATAACTTGTCAAATAATTAGGAAAAAACACTGTTAGGTTTAAAACTGCGAGGATATATTTGAATAAATATAGTTTCCTCTAGGTACAAAGAATTTTTTAGATGAAAATATTTGTAGTTAAGACTACTAGAAATCCTATTTATGGAGTAAAAAGGCGAAAAGACTAGAATTAGGGGCATGACTGGTATTAGGGGCTTCCACCCAAATTCGGTAAAAAGTATCGAAGTAGGTATTAATATACCTACTTTTTACTATAAACTAAAAAATTTTAAAACTATATTTAACTAAAAAAAACTAAAGTGACCATTTATTTTTTAACTCAAAACAGGACATGGGTTTATTTATACTCTAAAAACTATAACTTTACACAATTAGTGTTCAATATAAAATTATATTCGGTATAGACGGTAATTATTAAATGCAACATATTTTTTTAAATTATTAATTACATTTGTCAGTGGATTAAATTTGCTTTAATAAAGTTGGTGATAATTTTAAATAAGAATAAAATTCTGCTTAAGTTTTTTTATTGTTACCTTTGTTAACAACATCGCCTTTAGAACTGGAACCGTAAGTGTTTCTTTCAGACGTCCACAATTTATTCAAAATAAAAAAAATGCTCTTTCTACTGGAGCATTTGTACCAGGGAGACATAAAATATATTCGATTAAAAAAATTATGTTGAAGATTGTTGACTTTGAATACTTCCATCCAACGAGTTACGGGACAATTTTGTGTCCCGGAGCTTTGTTTGGGGACAATGGGACAGGTGACCGAGAAAAGGGACAGTCCCGTTCAAAACGGGACGTATGGTCACTTTAGCTATAACCCGGCGACGGCTCCGTGGCGCAGTGGCTTAGAAATCAGTTGCTGCGCTGGGGGCCGCGGGTACGAATCCCGCACGGAACAAGTATTTGTATGGCCTACAAATAATTGTTCCGGGTCTGGATGTTAGTCCTTGTGCAATTTATGTTTGTAAACTGCCTCCACGACTCTCATTCTATATTACTCTCACTCTGCGAAACATCCTATTTATTTATTTATTCTTTATTGCACCAAATATTTGTACAAAAGGCGAGCTATCTATCTATTTACCTATAGTGAGTAGGTATCTTTTAAACTCACAATTTTCAATGCTTCATTTTTAATATATAATTAATTATAAAATTTCATAATTAGATAATATATGAGAATACATAATTCTAATATAATGCAACTAATATACCGAATCAAAAAATTTAGATACATTTATCGTTGTACGCTGTGTGTATTTCCATAGAAATAGTTTATTGATGTTGAAAAAATACTACGTTCTTACAGTAGGTGGCGCCTTACATATTTCTTACGCGATATTATATTGTAGCGAGTCGGCGCGGCACACCAAATGCTCAAGGTCGTCGTTTAATATTATAATTTATTAATAATAATAAATTATTATATTAAATAATAAAAATAATAAATTAATAATTTAATATTATAATTGTCACCCCAACCTATAAAAAAGGCAGACCAGGAGTCCTACCACATAATACTTGTAACGTACTCAAGTAGTTCGGCCTAAGAATGCGAAGAAATGAGAGGTGTCCTATGTCCACGTAAATTCACGCAACAGGACTTCTATGTGGTAGAGCCACAGTTCA